AACAAATAAAGTGACAATGTGATGTATATGATGCAGATCTTCTACACATTGTGAAGTACTGTATATCCGAGTGAAATGGATTTACGAAAAATAAAAAATACAAATTAGCGTGGAGACTTAATAGAGAAAGATCTGAGTGAGATTAAGTAAGGGATAATCCACAGCTAGCTGTGCATTAAACTATTTTAATGCACAATGTTGAGGCAAAGAACCGGCCAATGCAAAGCGGATGGTGGTTGCCTTCACAAAGTGCATTAAAATCGATCCACAGCTAGCCGTGGATTATCCCGCTAATACCATGGCCATATTTTCGTCAGTTACGGCTCGTTAGATTCGTCATTCTGCTCGCTGTAAATCAGTTACTGGGCTGTTTCTGTTTAATGCAGTCTTTAAGTCTATGTAGTGTGTACATATCCAAACAGAACAACTGCTGTAATTAAAAAGTAGAGAATATCAAACAGGTCAAAATGTCAAAACATTGCTATGATTGTCTACAGTATGTCAGCTTACACGATTTCGAAAGTGTGACTGCATTCACTACACAAACAAAATGATTATTTAGTGGATTCACTCCCATAACTTGTAATGTATACATGTGTATAGCCAGGTTTTAGATGTTTCCAACCTCATCAGATGATTTTCTTAGTTGCTAAATTCAGTCAGGTCATGGCGAAGGGCACAGATTTAATGAAAGCTCCTGAGTTTAACTAGGCAAATGCTTGAAGGCTTTATTAAAGCAGGCCTTTTAGTTTCAATAAAGCCGCTGCAAATTAAGGTTGATTATTAATGTGCTCTACATGTCTATTAATAATAACGGCATAATAGTGTTTAATAAGGGATAATTCATGGATTGCTCTATAATTTATCACTGTCGCACGGCAAATGAATTATCCATGATGCCCAATTTAGGTGTGCGAACACATAAGCCATTTTCTTGCATCTGACTCTCCCTCAGGTTTTAAGTAATGTGGCAGATAAATGACCTAACGCCGTAAGCTAAATTGGATAATTACATTATTAGTGTCTTCATGACGTAAAGTATGGCTATATATCTGAAGGTATTCACTGACAACATTCTGCAGGCAACACGAGGAAAACCGTGTATTTTAATTAAATTCTATGTAACCTTCACCTGCAATTGTATGAGTCTGCTATTTACAGCATTTCTTTTCTTGGCAATATATATATTTCATATCACAAAGTACGACTGTGATGTCCTTGTATTTATGCTGTATATTTCTCTCAGGACTGACCCTTACCAAATCCAAACTTTAAATGTGGTTTTTAGATTTAATTTTGGATTTTACTAAAACTTTACATTTAAGGGGATGTGACCTTATTAAATTTCCTCTCACTGGCAGCCCCTCTCAGTTAATTACACGTAGGTGTTTTGTAATTATTCTAAGGAAGATTTGTCCTGGTTATTAGTTGTCCGCCCCCTTCCGAATAGACAAATGTAAGTAGCCAAATGGGAGGCTTTATAACAGGAAGCTGGATTTGTACTAATGCAACATCCAAGCAAAAGACCCTTTATTAAACTCTACAAATAAAGCAATGCTTGTTTGTTGTTTAGATTCCTAATTCTGATATGCTTCTTCTTTTTTGTCACTTTAATGATATCATTTTGTATCCCTGCAGAGTATAAGAGGATTAAAACGTGTCAAAGAAGTCATGAATTATTCCAGCTACATAGCAGATAATTGTAACACAGAGACTGCTGGAGGGGGATTAAATTTAGACTGCGGGTGTTAAGCTATAACACCCTCGCAGCAGGTGCATAGAAAACAGGCAGCCGTACACAACCTTTGCTCTAAAGATAAACTATGGATATTTTACTCATTGATTCATGGGTACACCAAGAGCAGTGTAAGACTTTGTGGAGCCTACCAAGATGACAATTGACTCTGACCACTGAGAAAAATGCCCCAACCCCTACAGGAATTTTTCATTAAAATGTTAGCTGTAGAGTTATTGTGAAATTATTGAAGTTTGGTCTGTAGGATTGGTCAAGTATCATCAGTCTTATTCTCAGAAGTGTCATGCCAATATCCAATAGAAGCACATTCCCCCTCAGACTGAGCAAGGTGGATTTTGAGAGCTGCTAAATAATATTAGTAGTATTAGTAAACTATTAGTTTCACAAATCATGCTGGGAAAAAAAAATCAATTTTAGTTCAATCGAGTCACACCTTTCACAAATAATTTAATTATTATTAATCCTCATGTAACGCGAAACTTTTTTGTAATGGAAACTAAATTTGATCAAATGTTTAAAATGTATTTCAAATATATAAAATACTGGACTTTGGGCCTTGGCCTATGCACTATTTAGATGTTTAACTTTCAGTTTGTATCAGTTACTTGTCTGTGTTCATGGTGTTGCAGACTAGAGTAAGTGAGTGGTGCAAAGTGAAGTTCATGTTAGAAAGTTGTCCTTTTCTCTTGCTCCATGAAACGGCAAATTAGGAAACCCGGAGTGGAGTATTCCAGACTGGCTTTCGTGTTGTGCTTTGCTTAGTGATAAAAGCTTCCCTATTGTGATGTTTATCCGAGATATACACCTATTGTTAGATCGTTGTTGTCAACCGCAAATAAGCCCCTGCAGCTATATATATTTCTGCTCGCTTAAATATGTCCTACAAAAAAGTTTGTAGCATTGTTGTATTGTTTTTTCTTTTGTTATATACATCATGCTGTCACACTGTAAAAAAAAAAAAAATTTCAAGATTTGTTATCACATTTTTTATTTTGTCAAATCAACTTAAATAATTTATTTAGTTCAGATAACTTATTATTTTGAGTTTCTTATGATTAAATCAATCTCCTTCATTGTATTAACTCACTTTTTCCAGTTCAATCAACTTAAAATTTTAAGGCAACCAGGTTACTTTTTTTTTTTTTTAAGTTAAACCAACTCTATGTTAGAAAGTCCTTTTCTCTCCATGAAACGGCAAATTGGGAAACCCGGAGTGGAGTATTCCAGACTGGCTTTCGTGTTGTGCTTTGCTTAGTTATAAAAGCGTCCCTATTGTGATGTTTATCCGAGATATACACCTTCTCGACAAGAAAAAAACAATGTAGGGACATCAGTTATTGGTATTGTTAGATCGTTGTTGTCAACCGCAAATAAGCACCTGCAGCTTCAAAACATAGATAATATTATTATATTATCTATTATCATCAGTATTGTTTATCATCAATAAATGAGCCTGCAGCATATAAAAAATTTGAAAAGCAGAAACATAAGTTATTTTACAAAAAACGTCAAATTGCAACAAAGTGGGAGGAGCCAGCACTGGGCTATCCTCCGATAACCTGTGAGCAGAATAGGTTTGGAGAAGGAAAAGGAGAAAAAGACAAGAGCACTGAGGGTGAGGGTCCTTGTACTTTTTGTAAAGCCATTTTTGTAATAAAATTAATATCTATCTATCTATCTATATAGTTTTTTTTGTTAAATTGTGTCCCTTTCCTCCCCTCCAGCGTCCATCATCTCCCATGTTTCCTCTCCATCATGTGCATCTCTGTTGGTGCAACATTGTTTTTGAAAATTTACATAAATCACTATTTGCATCTCTTAACTATCATTGCTTGAATCGTGGCGTCACATGCCAGCTCACTGAATGTGATTTTTCTCCAATGAAGGCAAGGGGTGGGATGTGAGATGACGAATTACGAATTGGACTGGTTAGCTATTAACTGTGAGCATACAGTGTCAAACAATCTAGGCCTATTGGGGAAAAAAAACAGTGACCATAAATATAAAGAAACAAAGTTGCTTGTCATTATTTACTAACTAACAACCATATTTTTTTAAATAATCCCAAAAAACCTAAACCCTTGACCCGTAGCGCCATTTACCAAAAAATGAAAAAAGTCCTAAGTCGTGTATTACAAGCGGACCTGCCAACTCTGATTGTTTGCTATTGCTGTGATGTGATCTTGTGTGAGGGTGACAGTTGTCCCGCCTATGCGCCAGCAAACACGTAATCAGAGAAGATATGTCTGCAAGTGGGAGGGGAAGTTATTTCGATTAAGGATTACAGAACTTGTGCATTTAGAAAAATAATAATAATGCAGTGATGCAGACTGCTAAATAATTTATTATAAACATGCGATACGATAGTAGGCTACATAAAAAAAAAAAACAAGAATTGTGTCAATTGTGTTTTCATGGTGAGTAATTTCTCCTGGAAATAGCTTTTTCGATGACAAAGAACTGGCCAGTCTGAAACTCACTTAAGTTAAAATTAATTAGCCTACTTATAAAACTGCACTATCACACTCACAATTGTGCTGTAAAAATTATTCAGCACATTTGATAGTTGTGCATTTTAATATTTGTAGTTGATTGCTTAAATATGTCCTACAAAAAAGTTTGTAGCATTGTTGTATTGTTTTTTCTTTTGTTATATATATATCCTATGCTGTCACACTGTAAAAAAAAAAATATTTTAAAGATTTGTTATCACATTTTTTATTTTGTCAAATCAACTTAAATAATTTATTTAGTTCAGATAACTTATTATTTTGAGTTTCTGATGATTAAATCAATCACTTTTTCCAGTTCAATCAACTTAAAATTTTAAGGCAACCAAGTTACTTTTTTTTAAGTTAAACCAGCAATATTTTTTTACAGTGTGAATACTGTCACCGCGGTGCCCCCTCGAAAATTTAGGACCAGGAGAAATTTCCTTCCCCCCTCGTATTCCTTCACACACACTAATACAAAATAGGCTTGGGACCCCTTGCGCGCGAAGCGAAGCATGACTTCCAAGAGAGAGTCGATACGCGCTCGAGCAGGTCCATCCAGAGGTGGCCCTTGAGTGTGAAGCGCGAGCGCTCGGCGGGAAGACGATAACGGTCACCCCTTGACGCACAGGTGAAGGCCACGTGAAACGCACCACTCAACCGTTGACAGAGACCCAGTTCGGTTCGATAAACAAGACTGAAACTTAATATAACACAAACTTAATATATCACATCAAATTTTTAAACCTCACCAAGCACGCTGTCCCGTTGAGGAGCAGCAGGATGAAGCCGTGGTCGGAGCGCATCTCGTCGTTGTCCAGCTGTCGACAGCTCTTCGTTCAAGAAGACGCGGTTCCTCCGGTACCGTATCCAAAACAGGCGAGACCCGGTCCCATGTCCAACAAAAAGTCACGCGCGAGCTCTCCACTGAGTGGAATCCCACCTGCTGTCTGTGACGGTAAACTCCCGCTACTTGGAGCTCGTCACATCCAAAGGTGTGTGGAAACTGACAGGACTCTTCATCACTTCCATCTGCGTACACTACTTTGTGTCGTTTCGTGTTGCCGTGTGAAGAGAATCATCTCCGTTATCCGCGCTTTTATGTGCTGGTGACGGTTAGGATCCCAGTGCGCGAGCCTGACCGGAGCGCAAACTCCTCGAGCGTCGTGCATATCAGTACATGCAGACTGGCAGCAGGGCTCCTATGCTGACGTTTTAAACCCCCCTTACTCTTTTTCACTCCCTCGTCATAGCCCCAATCACTCTTTCTCTTCATCTTCTTTCCCTACATTCTCTCTCTCTCTCTCTCTCTCTCTCTCTCTCTCTCTCTCTCTCTCTCTCTCTCTCTCTCTCTCTCTCTCTCTCTCTCTCTCTCTCTCTCTCTCTCTCAAACATTCCTTCCTTCCTCCTGTCAACCCTTCATACCTTCTCTTTCCTGAACCTTAATCATAATAATTAACTTCAGTCGTTTAAATGAAAAAAAAAAAGCACAATGATGAATTGCTTGGTAAATATAACAATATCCTGCATATTACTGGATATGAATTCTTTGTTCTTCCTTGAACATCATTCCTATTAACCAATCATTTCCCATTATAACTTAAGCGATAAAAGTTCACCAAAAAATAAAAATTCTGCCTCACATAATTTCAAACTTTATTTCACTCATCTTTTTCTTCGTCTTTTTGTTTTATACATGCATGGTGCTTTCATTCTGCCTAATATATTTTGTTTTCCTCAGGAAAAGAAAAGGGGTATGGCTGTGGAACAACATTAAGGTGAATACATTGATATTTTTTTTTTTATAATTTTAGATTACCTATTGATAAGTGACAAATATGCATGTTTGTCTATAGGAACATCTCGTCCTTCTCACATTGTGCTGATGGCAGTCACAGGTTATCAAACCTGATGCCAGAGGAACCTTGCCATAAGGTACAGGCTATTCTTATTGGTTTGTCTGCATCTGCATCTTTGTTATCTGTTTTGGGTTATTTGGCTCTTTTTTTGTCATCCAAGATACTCACCCCTCCACCTAACTGGTAATTGGCCCAGGGAGAGCCCTACTGTGTGTATTGGGATGCGATTTGTGTAGCCTTATTGATTTGAAACAGCCCGGTATCCTCTGCCTTTCTATGTGAGTCTAATATGAAATCAGATCACTTGCACTGTAGAACCAACTGACAGCACTCGCTTGATTACCACACTTTTGTTATCAGCCATAATTTATTTTCTAATCTGTTTCTTTTTGGTATTCAGGGGTGATAATTTACCTCCTTTTAAATGTTATTACTTTCCCCTCCCTCTTTGTGCATAGTGCACACACTTAGCAAAGTGACCTTTGACCCTCTAAGGTCACTCTACATCCCCTGTCAAATATTAATATTGTGCATTAAAGCAGTGTGTGCATGTATGATTAAGTGCAAGTCTGTTGGCTTGGTAATGGAATAGCGAGAGGGCAAAGGGTCAAATTCTCTGATTTAAACCCCGGAGATTGCGACACAAAATGTAAAGATCGAAGAGCAATGAACTGGAGAGAAAAAAAACACACACACACACATAAGATCAAAGCAACAGACTAAGCAATTTTTTTTCTCTAAATCACAAAACATAGCTTTTAATAGAGAGTGATCAAAATACTTTTGGGTGACTGAAAGGTTTTTTTCTTTCTTCATTAGTTCAAAGTTACTAATAATGTAATTAACTTGACAAACGACATAATTGAAATGGTCTCACACTTAGAAAAATCGTATTACAATATGAAATGCCTAATTTTCAATAAATCTTATTGGTCATAAAACATGATTTATTTATGTAATGCACTATGTTATGTTATGCAGCTGGACAGATTATACATCTATATACATAGATGTTTGGGGAAATGTGAAATGGATATGTTTTTATAAAATTCATCCAATTTTTTTTTTGCAGTATTTAGAAGAAATTATCCATAAGGATGATGTTACAAGCGTGTATCTGTGATTGAAAGCGATAGTGTCTCTGTTTGTGTGTGTCTGTGAGCCTGCATTAGTGTAGGGATCATGGCTGGGGGCGTTAGTGGCTTTATCATGTTTCACAGCACTAATGTCATTTGAGTGTGCTGTGTTGGAGACAGTGGGTAATCCAATGATTAGAGACTCCCTGCTAGTTATATACAATAAAAAGGTCTTTAGCTCCATCTTGTGTTGATTTTTATTACTACAGCCATTCTGAAAAAAAAAATTCTAATTGATTGTCAATGGCTGCTTGAAATGACTAACACCTAACTGTCTTGCTGCCTCGGTGCTTAGCACTGCAGGGTTAGTTCACCCAAAAATGAAATTTCTGTCATTAAAGGTACACTATGTACGTTTTTGGGTTAAAATATCCAAAAACCACTAGAACAGTAATATTGTTACTAACGGCATTACTTTTTCCAGTAACGAGTAATCTAATTGATTACTCTTCTCATCTTAACAACGCCGTTACCGTTACTGCCAAAAATGCGTCCCGTTACTATAACAACTGATGAAGCTGTTTTTTTATTTTCATCAGACCAACTAGATCACTGAGCGAGAGGCACACTTTTTTACTGTTCTTCCATTGAGCACGAGACACGCGCATAAATGCTGACGATTGGCTGAGGTAGAGTAAACTGTCACTGTAAGCCAATCAGAGGTAGAGTTGGGCGGGTGTTCTAAAGCACGCAGAGTAGTGATGAGCATTCGGCTCTTTTGACTCAGCTCTGAAAAGAGCCGGCTCTTTAAGCTCACAAACGGCTCTTTAAATGACTTTGACTATAATATTTCACTTTTTATTATATAATTATTTAATTTCTATAGGCTAAATTTGTAAAAATAGAGTCGGCTCTTCAGATATGCGAGCCAGCTCCCGACGTTCAAATAAAAGAGTCGGCTCATTCGCGAATCGCGAACGACCCATCAAAAGCTCATTCGCGAACGAGTCGATCCATCATCACCTACGCTTCTCCGCGAACGACCCATCATTACTATCGGCTAACGCTCATGAATTGCGAACGACCCATCATAACGCATAGTCGGACAGGAATAACGGACACAAGGAATAACACAAGCCAGTCAGTCAACGAGAGACAGGTATGCCGACGAGCCCAAATAATCCGAAAGTAGCCTTCTCTAAACGGTATTGCTTATGTTAAGTTTTCATTTCCGTCCGTCATGTCCATGCACAATATGTTGCGATCATCCATCCTCTAAAGAACAATCCAGATACAATTTCTCAGTGTTATTTATTTGTTAGTTTTCGTCTCAATGCGCTGGCATAACATCAGTGAGTGAGGGAGCAGCAGCACGACATTCATCTCAAGGAAGGAACACAAGTTGAGTCAAAATAAAAGTTCCCATTTGTTCACACATGCGCACAATGAACTCTTGCACATTTTTTGTAACAGTAAATAGCATAAAGTAAAAACAAAATAACAGCAAGAAAAGTGTCCATTTCATTATAAAATTCAGATTTTTCATAAATAATTGAACATGCACATGTCTTTTAAGTTCCGTTAAATAGGGGCACAGAGTAGCATTATAGCAACTTTCAACACACTCAAATTTATCTAATATGATAATACAGCACTGAGTTACCCATACATATACGCCTTATTCACGGCAGCGCCATCTTTAATTTTTAATGAGAATGAAAGCGAGGCTGTGAGGGATAGTCATGCATCTCTTCAATGGGCTGTACTGTTTGTGTTTCGGATTTTTCTGCTTATGAAACACTGGAAAAATATCTTTCCAAAAACTCCCGACAATGTAAGCTGTGGAAAATTGTGAGTAATCTAGGAGCTTTTTACAGCGGATGCCATTGGAAACACGATAAGCTTATCCCTCACAGCCTCACTTTCATACCTGTCATGGCGCTGCTCTGAATAAGGTCTATTACCTGAAGAAGCGGAAGGAGTCTGCTTTCGAGCCGTGTGTCATGCTTGTTTCTCATCAGTGTTACGTCCTAAGTGTGTCTAGGGATCGGAACGTAACAAGGTCGGTTTTTAAAGAGCAATAGTCAGGGCCCTGCCACAGCACCACAAAGTCTGAGTACCAAGCAGCATCTCCAGGTGTATTTACAGTAGAACCAGAACAAAAAAAGTAATCTTCATAATTCATTGACTAATTTCAACAAATGCAAGTTATTGTTTCAACCAAGAAAGTACTCATAATTGTGGAATAACAGGCAGTGTACCCCTGTGCTGCATACTTACAAACAGCCTCCAGATGTCATCTTAATAGACAGGATTTTATGTGAACATCATGTCTTCCTTCATCCATATACTTCCCTTTTCAGTTTTTCTTTCTCCGGTTTTAATATAAGTAAAGTAATACGATTTATTTTTTATCTATTTATTTTACATAACATGCATTTATCCATCACCATTTAAAGAACCTGTTAAGCCCAGTTTGGTTCTTCAGCAGTTCTTCAGTGTTTCTCTGGGGTGGTTAACATCTCTATGGCACTCTTATTGTTCTACATAGCACCATGTGACAAAGATATGTGCCATACTTAATGTGGTCCCCCTATGATTACAAGCCACCACTTTTAGTGCTATTTAGCACCATTTTGTTTTTAGATTTTGTCCTGGTTTTATTTCAGCAGAGAAAAAATACACCTCTTTGGATCTAAAGGTGTGTTTCACTCATAGCAACTGAAGAGGGCACCCTTGCTTTAAGGAAAATATACCAACATGTTCTCCATATGTGTTTTCTTTAGTTCTATTCTCAGCAGTTGACACAGCACAGGCTTTTTTTTAAAGGTTGTTTGACATCAAAGATCAAACTGTAAGTGACACTCACTCAGTTATTCCAGCTTAAATGATCCTCACCAGAGAATTATGAATGGTATGATTTCACTCCCACTGATATGTCCCCCATGGCTGTGTTTTTGTTTTTCCAGGGGGAGAGATTGAGAGAGCAATATAACGAAGGACTAAAGCACAGAGAAACAGGATATAAACGAGATTGAGAATCCGAATTATCATCAGTGCCAGAAACAGGCGAGTTCAATTTAACATCACTAAATCTACAGTGATACACACTCATTATGAATGTAAACAATGGAAGATGAGGAGAGGAAAAAATGTAGATCACAAATGTAAACATAATCAGTGAGGGGGGAAAAAATGCATATGATTGGTGTTTGTTTTGAGCTGTGACAAATTGTGCCGAAACATACGATACAATCCCACAACCCCCAACTCTACATAAGGCCAGCATTTACTCAGCTTTTGTAAAATGACAAAATTATACTT